ACTCAAACCATGCAGTTGGCCCTGTGGGATCCAGCCACCCCAACCTCTGTGCCACCTGGTGACCCCATTTTGAATTCTTACTACCTTCCCAAAGTACCATTAATTTAGCCTCATTGATGGGCTCTCTTTTCTCTGAAATGGTTTTCTTTTGCACAGTCCTTTAGAGGAGACCAGACGTCTCCCAGTTATTGAGAGTTAGTGGCGCCCATGTGTCAGTCAGGGCTCAGTTCCCAACAGCACATGCATTCCCCAGAGATCACTCACTTCACCGCTTTGCCCACGTCTACCTGTTTTTCTCCTGGTACAATGGCAAAGAGGTACAGCAGTGTATCCAAAAATGTCACATCCCATTTCTCATGATGAATAACAGTGTCTGAAGGCCAGCGTGGAAGAGGCTGTGTCCTTAACCTCTAAATAGCTTTTGTGACTCAGACCTAATCACATCATTGCCCTGCCTACAATCCCTTGATGGGGCCCCACAGTGTACAGAATGAAACCCAACCCTTCTGTGACCCCAAGACAACCTTCCAGCTGTCTCCCATCACTTCATGCAACACAGGTACTCAGTCAAGGTCAAATGGGGAAAAAATACCGGAATCCAGACCTTCTAAAATAAATGTTCTTCAAAGGCAGTTTCAAAACACACACACACACCCTCCCATGCACGCACACTCTCCCACACCGTATTGGCAATCCCAGATACACAGGCTGGTGCACCCATTCTGCCCTTATCCCGGGCAAAGAGGCATCAATAAGTAGATGGTTCTCGGCTTTCCCAAAGAAAGAAGGTGGTGGGAGCTGGTCTTGGCTAAAGATAACGAGCAGGAACGTGTGGTTCCCCAGGCATCTGGGGTCCTTAGACGCCTAACTCCTCCCCTCTCGTGTGCTAAGCTGTGAGCCTGTATGGCAGTTGTGACCACCACAGCCTGACTGCCCCTGACCAGAGGTCCACCTCAACAGCTCCTCACAACCTGCTGACAAGTGGGGTCACCATACCTTATGTTAGACCAACTCTGAGTGCATGGCTGGGGTCACCTTGACAGTAGGAAGGAGTCAACCAACTCTTTCACATGCCAGTGGCTGGTATTACTAATTTTGCATTCATTAAATCCATAAAAAGACAACAATGAGACCCACAAGTAGGACATTGGCCAGAAGCACCCAGACCAGCATGAGCAGAGGAGACCCCTGGTTTTTAGAGAGACCCCTCTAGGGGCCCCTAAATAAGCCACCTGGCTCCATCTGAGCTGATGCCTATGGCTCTCCCTCTTACTTATAGACCATCCCCAGAAAATTTGCAACATCCCCAAAGCTCTGTTCAAAATCCTAAAACATGAGGCCTGGATTGAACCTCCTAGGCCAGATTCTGAGCCAAACTCTGCATTTTATGGATGAGGAAACTAGGTTCCCATGATGCCAACCGGTGCATGGAGTCTACAGCAGCTGGATCCCACATAGCCAGCTGTGTGGTTTGAGTGTTAGACTCGGCAGCTTGAAAATCATGCTGGGGAGACCAGCAGATAGCCTAGGGGTTATATCACATGGTCTACCATGGTTTGAGTCCTGGTCCCACTGGCTTCAAAATCACACTGGGCACATGTGTGCACGTGCCCAAGATCCTGGGAAGAGAATGGAGGAGAAGGGATTACAGCGGGGCCATCCTCCTGGGAGGTGACTTCTCATTTTCCCACTCACTGTCTGTCTCTCACTCTATCTCTCGGGTGAGCACTTGTGCCCTGAAGGTAAAAATCTCTAAGAAAAATAAATAAATAAAAAGAAAGGAAGGAAGAAAGAAAAAGGAAGAAAATCATTCTAAGCAGCTGTGCCCAAAACCCTGCGAGGAGAATGGAGGAGAAGGAAATGTGGGGTCGCTATCCCTCCAGGGGTGATTTCTCACTTTCTCTCACTCGCTCTCTCTCTGCCCCCAGCGAGTACCCTACAGCAAAACAAATAAGACCAAAAAAAATTAAGTTCCCAAAAGAAGAAATGATTCATTCAAAGTCCAAAGCCCACACTCCACAACTAGGTACTGGCAGGATGAGGACTAGAGCTGCATTGGGTGGAATATTTTCCCCACTTCACTTCCACCCCTGCACTAGACTTCTTGGAAGTTCCTTCTCACCCTTCAGGCCTTGGCTAGGAAGACACCTCCTCTGGGAAGCCTTCCCAGCCTCTTCTCCTTCCATTAGAGCTAGAGGCTCTCTCCTTTCAGACTGTTTAGTCGCTAATACCTGATAACCTTGTTAGAGGACTTGAACCAGCCTGGAAGCCCCTGGCTCCATCTCCCGTGGGTACCTCTAGTGAAGAAAGAATGTCTCCCGCCCTCGGGGTCTGCTGGGGTGGGCTGGTGGGACAGCAGTAGGTCCTGAGGCAAGCAGGGGTCACTAAGAAGACAGCTCAGGTAGGGTCATGGCAGTTAAAAGGAGGAAGTGGCGGCCAAGCTCATGAAAGCTGATCTGAACAAGAAAAAAGCCAGCTATCCTGTAAAATTACAAAGCTAGGGGCAAGCCAAGAGTTGTTGAGGAACGCAGGAGGTGACGACCACAAGTCAGGACAGGGTCCACGTCAGAGAAGGGGCACTCGGAAGGTCTGAGCAAGGAAGAACCATCCAAGGTAGGGCTTTAGGGTCTGAGTTTGGTGCAGTGTGGAGGCTACCAGGGGCTAGGGTGGGAGAACCCTGGAGGCAGGGAACTGGGCTGCTCTGGTCCAAACCCACCTCTGACCGATGTTTCAAATGCCTCAGTTGGGCAGAGGGGTTGCTCCACAACGAGGGCTCAGAGCAGCAGGTGCAGGTTCTGCAGGGGAAATGCCCACGCAGCCTGGGGCCCACCAGAGCCCTCCTCAGGGCACCTGGAACAAAGTAGCTTTTCCCGAAGCTCTCTCATCTCTTCCGGCCTCCCTGAGTCCCTCCCAGACAACAAACTGAAAGCACATGGGGCTGTTAGAGCCCTCCTCCCTGACCCCCTCTCCGGGCATTCTCCTTGCCTCCACCCACGCCCTTACTACTCCTGGCCCCTCCGCTCTCGGCCACACTTCCTCGGTTTCCCCTCGACTCCTCTCCACCCCTTCCTACTCCTGGCCCCCTTTGCTCTCGGCCCCACTTCCTCGGTTTCCCCTCGACTCCTCTCCACATCCCTCCTCAGCCCCTTCAGGGGTCCTCTTTCTCTGCCCACCTCTGAGCGCTGGTGCCCCCAGACTCCACCCCTGGACCTCCACTTCTAACTGCTTCTCAAACCCCCGTCTCAACCCCTTCTGTACTCCCCCATCTGAAAAGTCCTGTGATTGTCCTCTGCAGGACACAGAGGAAGCCTACAGTACTCACCCCTTCCTGACCCTGCCCCGTTGCCCCAGCCCACCTCGCAGCCCCTCCCACCCTGCACCAGATATTCTGAGACTCCTCTTGTTTCTTCTACAAAAAAAAAAAAAAAAAAAAAAAGTGTGTGTGCGTGCCCAAGATCCTAAAGAATGGAGAAGGGATTGCTGCGTGGAGTCCCTCAGTATAAAAGCCATTTGCTTTGTCTCTCTGTCTTTCTGGCGAGCACACGCACCCTCTAGCAAAAAAACTCTCCAAAAATAAATAGATAAATAAAAGCCATTTGCTTTGTCTCTCTGTCTTTCTGGCGAGCACACGCACCCTCTAGCAAAAAAACTCTCCAAAAATAAATAGATAAATAAAAGCCATTTGCTTTGTCTCTCTGTCTTTCTGGCGAGCACACGCACCCTATAGCAAAAAAACTCTCCAAAAATAAATAGATAAATAAAAGCCATTTGCTCACTTTCCTGTCCCTGCCACGGACTCTGAGCACATGGACCAGGCAGTTCATCTATAGCCTCAGCACCTCCCCTGGTACCTGGTACCTACTACTCACGGGAGTAGCTACCATTTGCTAAGTAACATCTAAGTGTTTTTACTAACAATTATTTTCTTTTATCCTCACAAAATAGTCATTTTACATTATTACTTATCATAATAACATAGTAGTATTGTAAGTAATAATAGTTACTATTATCCCCACTTTAAAGATGAGAATGTTGAGGTGCAGAAAAGAGGTGAAACTTCCCTAATGTTAAAAAATTAGCGAAATGGGGCGCTCCAAACCCAGGCCGACCACCAAGTCAGCGCTCTTCATCACTAAGCAATCTCTCATCTTAATAAGAGCCTGTTAAATGAAAGCATCCAATTATGCACATGATTCTGTAGTGGGGGTTAGGAGTGAAGGGATGTTGCAGATCCTCTGGGTCTCCCCATGGAGGTGTGGTGAAAAGTGGATAAGTGGGGTGCCCAATGGAAGGGGTGCAGGATGGGAGACCAGCCTGGACCACAGAAATGGCTTCCCGGACATTCTAGCTCTGCCAAGTTGCTGTTACTTACCTTCACCTGGTGGGATAACAATACCACACTGGTCAGTACCACCAGCCACAGAAAGAGCCACGCCAGGCCCCAACGAACCGAATTCCAGGCCAGCAGGATCTAAGCGCGTTGACTAAATGCACAAAGCGAGGGCTGGAGAGGGGACCCTGGTTCAGAAAGACTAGGCAGATGGACGCCACGAACGCACAGAGCAAAGCTGGGGTCAAAGACCAGAATCAAAGGGACGTGATCAGGGCAGAACCCCACAGGCAGCTGGGCAGAGACTGCCTGCATCCTGGGCCAGGATACGTGTCCAGCTTGCGTGGGACCCAAGGAAAGGGGGACAAGGTGGGTGGGCACCAGCTAAAGGGAGCAGCTCCTGAGCAAGCTGTTCAGGGGTGGCGCTCAGCAGCCTTGGGGATTCTGGGGCCCCCACCATCAGTCACCCTATTTCTATTTGAAACTCTATTCATGTCAGTTAGTGGAGCCGGCACCTCCAGTGGAGAAGACACTCCAGTACAAGGTTGGATCACATGTCCCTTGTCCCTGAGATGCTAACAAAACTGCAGTAGCAGCCCACGCCAGCACACGGGTTAGTGCCACCCCAAATGGTTGCGTTTCCTCTACAGTTGGCACAGCCAGAACTCACCCGCATCGGCTCATCAGGGAATCCGGGTTTGCTTGGTCTGTCCTGTCTCCGGGATCTCAGGAGCTGTTTGGCCTGCTTCTCCATCAGAATCGGAGAGGCCTCTGAAAAAGTCCGGAAGGGGACCAGCAGTTAGTGTAATGGCTATGTTGCTAGACTCCCACATAGTCGGCCATGGTTCGAGTCCCGGACCTGGTGGTTTAAAACTCACGCCAGGCACATGTGCGTGCGTGCCCAAGATCCCAAGAGGAGAATGGAGGAGAAGGGATTGCGGCGTGGCCATCCCCCCTGGGGGATGATTTCTCGCTTTCTGTCTCTCTGTCTCTCTCTGTCTGTCTGGCGAGCACACGCGCCCTATAGCAAAAACCTCTTTAAAAAAAAAAAAAAAAAGTCCAGAAGGTGCCTTATGGACTCGTAGGCCGAGGAGTTTGTGCTCGGTCTCCACAGTCCAAGGCAAAGAATTTGCAAGTTGAATTTTTGTTAAAATACAAAAGTTCTTTATCAGGGACCTTTCCCAGAGGACATGGCATTCCAGAAGGTTCAGACAGGAATTTTCAATGTTTTCTAATGTGGTTAACTCAGAGCAAAAACTGCACCACTTTAAACATACTTACCTATTGCCATGGCCCATCCCTGTAAAAATTTGTGTAAATGAGTGAATATTTTTTCAAACACACTTTCTTCAGTTCTGTGGTCTGTTTCTCGTCCCTTAGGTTTGCCTTAGTGAGCTTTTGTTTTTATCTTTAATCCTCAGTACATTAAATCAGGTTTAAAGGCATTACTTCCTTAGTACATAGTCTATTATAACTGACAGGGAGGGGAATGTAGTTGACAATTTACTACACATCTTATAGTATCTAAAGAAAGGAAGAGGACTTGAATGTTCCCAACACAAAAGTTAAGACCAACGGTTGAGATGATGGTTATTCTAATGGCCTGATTTAATCATTACACATTATATTCATGACTAATAAAAACCACATTGTACTCGCCCAAATAGGTACCATCATTATATGTTCGTTTTTTAAATTAACGTTTTAAAAAGAAGCAAACAAAAAAAGTCATTACAGGGAAAACATCCAGTGACAATAATCAGATGGTTAAACTTCATAATCCTATGTCACTCCTCAGGAAGACAGGATAATAAAAACACTTTGATCATCATATGCCAGCTCTAAGAGGTATTGTCCTAATAAAAGCGTATCAAGGATTTGTGATAGCCCATGAGCTCTGAAAGAAAGTAGGATTGAACAGGGGTCAGCATTTTAAAGAAACAGCGCTAAAATAGATTGAAAGGGTCTTTTACAAAAATAATTTACCCCTAATGATAGCAATTCTGGAAAGCTGTTCCTACAGAAAAGAAAAAACATTGACAGACCTGTAGATCATATACTACCCATTATTTGAAATGAACAAAGTAAGTTTAAAATAGCCACTAGCCCAGGGTTCGAGTTGCTCACCACGCTGCGTAGACAGAGGCTGGTTTGAGAGTGCGTGCTCACCTGAACAGAGGGTCAGTAAGGTGAGAGCCAGCAGGAGCACAAGCGGCTTCATCTTGCTCTCCGCACTCCTCCGGGTGAATTCTCCCAGCCCCAGCTGCCTCCTTGAAGGCAGCCCGTCTCCTGTGTGTTTTGGCTAACAGGACTCACAGTATGATGCTAAATGTCTCTGACTCTGAGTTTTCTGTAATGATTGCTCAAATATTTTTCTCTGAAGTTCTGTAAATTTTCATCCAGAGGAAAGAAATTATCGCTCTGTAATATGGCCCTCAGAGCTCACGTTTGGGGAAGCAGAGAGCGATACTCGTTGCGTTGCACAGATACATACTTAATATAGTCCTTTATGAGTATCAGCCTGTAGCTTCAGTTTATGCTCTTGTTTTAAGGAGAACTCAAAACCTCTTATATTTACCTATTTATGACATTTTTCCAAATTCCAGCCACCAATCTAATTTGACTTTCTTAATCATTTTAGAGGTGGGAGCAGAGGCTAGCAAGGAACACAATAAAGGAGACATTTTTCTTTCAGCACACTTGGAAACCAGGAAGACCAGGGTTCAAATCCACTTTACTTCTTCCTTAAGTCTTAAGTAAGTCACTCGCCCTTTCTGAACTTGGGCTTTCTGCTCCACACAAGGGACATAACACTACCCATTCTGAATGTATTCACTCACCTTTTAAATGTCTCTTCTGGGGCCAGCAGGTGGCGTGGTAGTCGGGGCACTGAACTCCCACATGGTTGACCACAGTTCGAGTCCTGGACCAGGAGGCTTACTTTCTCACTTTCCCTTTTTCTCTCTCTCTAGTAAGATTTTTTAAAATAATAACAGTAATAAATTAAATAATTATTTTTTTAAATGTCTCTTCTGCTGTAAACTCAAAGTGAACTCATATTACTTTTCTTTTCTTTTTGCACAAGGGAACCTCTGGAGGGCCGAAGAGGTGGACTGGAGAGAGCTGGGATCTGTATCATGCCCTGAGATGTCGACACGGGGTCTCAGGGTGGAGAGGGCCTGCAGGTGTGCTACCGGCAGGGCCATTCAAATCCCTTCAGTTTAGCTTCTAAGAGTATGGTCCCAAGTGGGAGGGGAGGAAGGGGAGCCGCAAGAGCAAGGTGGGAGTCTGGTGGGAGAATGTCTTCTACTCCCCTACTCCCACCCCCAGGGAAAGCAGCAGTAGGGTAACTAGGTGAGTCAGGAAATTCCCAGGAGAAGGTGCAATTCCAAATAACTCCACAAGGTGGCAGAGTGGAGAGAAGAACCAAGGATAACCAAGGTCAGGGGAAAGCCACTTAAGGCCACCAAGGTTAATTATTCAAGCACTTGTCAGGGGTCCAGTGACCGGTCCCGTGACGTGCAGAGAGGTGATACTGCAGTATCGCTCTGTTCTCTACGATTTTCACTGATGTGTTATTTGAAGGTCTTCATTCGATGCTGAGGGCTAGGAAAGCTGTATTATCAATTTGACATTTAAGAACATAAAAAGGAAAAATCCATACGCACAACACTCAGACATAACTAATATTTTTATTTGTGAGTTTCCCATCACTTTTTTTAAAGAATTATTTTATTTAACTTTATTTATTTATTCATTTTTATTTGTCCACACAGGAAGGGGGGGGGGGTGGGGAAGGTGCAGGAAGGAGTGAGAAAGCAAGCTACCAGGTCTAGGACTTGAACCGCAGTCGCTCATGGGGGAGTCCAACGCCCTTAACCACCATGCCAGCTGCTAGCCCCCTCCATCACTTTTTAGAAGAACTCCTCAAATTACACAAATTTTTAAGGATCATTGAAAAAACCAACAACATAGAGTTCTTAACATCATCATATTGGATACTGGATTTTAGCATTGAAAAGACAAATTCTACAAGCTAAGGAAACTTCAGAGACAAGGAGACACCTTATTTTTTAATTTTTTTTTGTTTTTTTAACTGTACAAAAATGTAAACTGCACAAAGATGTTATAAATGCTGAATAATATATCTACTTTCTTTTTTCTTTGTCTACCTTCTTTATGACTAAAGTCAACCAAATAAAGTCTAGCAATTCTTTTCATAATTGTTTTCATCTTTGTTATTGTCCGGCTTCCCAACTAGATTATAAGCTCTATATTTTACAATGTACATCTTATTCTTTTATATGAGTTTAAAGCAGCAGTAGAAAGTCCATAAGCTTCATGTGCACACACACACACGCACACACACACACACACACACAGTCATTTACAGGCACACTGCAGGCCCACATGAGGATAATTAGCCTCTGCTCACCACCACCACCACCACATCTGTGCTCTTTGCCATAACCCTTGGCAATCCTGTCCCTTGACTTTTGGCTCAACCAAGTGACTTGCTTTGGGCAACGGGATGGTGACCGGCATAACACAGATGGAAGTCTGCAGTGTGTTTGTGCAGGTGTGTCCTCTTGCATTGCTTCCCCCAGAGACCAGCTGCACATTCAAGCTGAGTCTCCGAATTCACTTCCACAGAAAGTACCTGAGCAAGAAGCCACACCCACACAGATCTGCCGCTTCAGATAGACCCACTCAAGCCAGCCCTGCCTGGCTCAGCCAACCTCTGGCTACCAAAGCCTGAAATAGAGCCACCATCAACCTGCAGACTCCTGAAAATAAATTATTATTTTTTTAAGCCACGGAGTCTAAGAGTGGCTTATTACATAGCACTGGCTGGTAATAGCTAACTGACATAGGGGATTTTAATGGGATGCTTATTATGTTCAAATCTGGATGCTACTGTGCCAAAGTTAATAGTAGCATCCTGACAGAATATGCATTTGAAAGTGAATGAATATCTACCATATAGGCAATGTGCCATCATAGTTAAGGTTATGGACTGCCAGGGCCAGCAGGTGGCATAGTGGTTAAGGCGCTGGACTCCCATGTGGGCAACCACAGTTTGAGTCCCAGACCCGGCAGCTTGAAACTCACACCAGGCACATGTGCATGCCCAGAATCTTGAGAGGTGAGGGAAGAAGGGATTGTGGTGTGGCCATCCCTCAGTGGGGGGTGATTTCTTGCTTCTTGTCTCTACGTCTCTCCGTCAAACACACGCACACCCTATCGCAAAAATCACTCAAAAAAAAAAACAGGTTACGGACAGCCAAGTTAAACCCTGGCTCTGAAACCTGTTGTCTGTGCACCTACAAAGCTGTGTGACACAGCAAAGTTTGTAACTTCCCAAATCACTGCATTCTCATTTATAAAAAAGAATTATATGGGGCCAGCACATGGCACGGCCATCTCCCACATGGCCAAGAGCATGGTTCGAGTCCCAGACACAGAGGCTTGAAAACACCTAGTGTGCGTGCCCAAAATCCTGAGAGGAGGATGGAGGAGAGGAGATTGCGATGTGGTCATCCCCCCTGGGGGGGATCTCTCTCTCCCTCTCTCTCTCTCTCCCTCTCTCTCTCTCTCTCCCTTTCTCTTTACGGTGAGCACATGTGCCCTAGATCAAACTAAAAAAAAATTAATAATAAATTATAGTCAAATTTACTTCATAAGGTTGTCCTGAGACTTAAGAGAGAGTGTATGAAATGTATATAAAGCCCTTGACAGAGAATAAAAGTCTAATTCTTGGAAACCATAAT